TCGCACGGTTTCTTTTTGGCTGCACCTACTTTGTGCAAGGTTGATTTGGATTGCACCTGTTTCCTGTTTTTCAAACATAGAACAATTTGTCTATTTGAAACGATGGTTGGTTTTGTGGCCTTGAACTTTTCAATCACTTGATCTCGGCCCTTTCAACTGCAACTGGTTGTTTCCTGAATACCAATTGCATTTCTGACCCTAAAGAACCTCTAGTTTTTCCAAACTTTGCCATGACGGTTGGTCATGTGGGACTTAACCTTTTTCAACTTTGTTTTACCTTCATGAGAATTTCAATCTGATTTCCTTCTTTCAATTTTTAACTTTAGAGCATTGGGGAATCTTAGCCACTTGAGACTTAACCTTTTCAACTTCATTTTGCCTTTATAGGCACTTCAATTTGATTTCCTCCCTCCAAGATTTTTTAATTTTGAAGCATCGACCGTTATGGCCAGTCGGGGTCGACTTGAGGCCCCTGCCAAGGCTGGATGCTTTTTTTGCATATTAGCTTGTATCAAACGAAAGCCCTGTAAATCAGTCTTGCTATATCTTCTTTGCCTTAGTCTTTGGGACAAAGTTAGAACTAAAGGGGTTGAAAGAAAACAAACAGTGGAATGGAGAATGAGTTTAAACAAGAAGTGTCTCTTTCGGGGAAAGGAAAGAAGGACTTATCTAGAGTACATGCGGACTTCAATGAACATGACATGCCTTTTGACTAGATGCCAGGTCTATGTAAAACGTCCGACTCTCAAAAATTCATCACAGCTTTTGCCTCGAAATCGAGAAAACTTGCCTAGGACTATGTCGATACCAGTGGTTGTGAGGATCCTTGTTTTTATTAGTGGCGCCCTTTTTGGGTTTTCACAAACTGGCCTCTCTCATTTCTCTTCTCACCATCACCTTATAGTGCTCTTTGCGAGTTTTTACTAACAAGACTCTCTCATTTTAATTTCTCTACTTACCATTGTCTTACGGTGTCCGTGAGGGTTTTCACTAATATGACTCTCTCATTTTATTTCTCTCATTTGGTTGCATAAAATTCAAGTAATTGTATCCCCCCTTTGAATCTCTTTGCCAATTGATTGGAAGGACTTGAACAGGACTTGGGGTAATAAGAATCTGGATTGAATTAAACTTTGGAACTTTTCAGGTGAAACCATCGCGGAAACATTATAACAACTGTCCCAATTTCACTTTTGGGGGAATTTGGATTTTTGTTTTGGTGTGAATGAACCCCAGAGAGAGACTGCCTATGTATCCTTTCGGAATCAAGTCGAATATAGTTCAAGAAACTTTGTTTTTGATTTTTTAATTTTCTCTTATTTTTCTTTTTCTTCTGTTTTGTTTTGTTTTCTCTTTCTTTTTTCCTTTCCTTTTCCTCTTTTTTTTTCATTTTCACTTCATATTTCTTTTGTCTTTTTATTTCCAACAACAATTTCAGGTTCCAAAGAGGGTAATCAAAGGAAGTCAACCGGCTCAAAGGGTTGGCAAAATGGTTAATAGTGTTTGGATAGCGAGAAAGAAAGCCTTCGTGGTCCCAATCAGAGCATTAATGTTATATTGAGGAAACATAGTATCTTTTGACTGCACCTGTATTGACAGTTGTTTCAAGGACATTTCCTTCGATGTTTTCCATGTACAACGCCCTCTTTTGGCAGTACTCTCGTTACCATGTATAGATCTTTCCAATCTGGAGCCAATTTTTCTTTAGTTGTTCTGATTCTTTATTTTATTTCCTTAAACCTATTTTCTTTGTATTCTGATTCTTGATTCACTATTTCGAAGTCTGACACCATTTTAGGATCTGAGCATGAAGTCCGCAAGCATGTCATGTTATTGAAATCTACATTTAACAGAACTAAAAAGAAAATAAGAAAAGTGACAAGATTAAGAAAAGAGACATTCCTGGATAATGAAATATCAATTTCATTTGATTTTTTTTATTTTTTTTTAATTTCAATGATAGAAGGGTTTACATTAGAAATCAACACAATAAAGTAAAACATCCAATCACACCTTGAGATAATCCGGACGCAGAAAGGATATCAAGACTAGCTACCGAGACTCCCATCTGATGGGGGAAACTTTCAGGCTTGGCGACCGATTTTTAGCTTTTCTTCTGCCTCGGTAATGCTTGCAAAGGCCTTCAGTGCCGGATCAAATTCCTCATCTTCATAAATCATTTCGACTACTGGCCAATTGGTGTGAGTATGAGAAGGATTGTTCATCATATTAGGGTCCTCTTCATCTCTAAACACTATTTCCTAGACCTCGATGAGGTCTTCCACTACTCTTTTAAGAGTCTAAAAATCTTCAGTATCATGTCCCACTACTCCAGAGTGGTATTCGCATCTAAAATCAGCTCGGTGCGAGGGAAATTCGGGGTTCAGCCGGTTCGGGGCCACTGGTTGTAGCAGACCTAGCTTAATTAGCTTTTGAAACAACTTGAATACGATTCACCAATAGGGGTGAACTGATTCCTTTTGCGAGTCTATTTTGGGCGAGGATTGTATTGGGGAACATTTGGTTGGATATTATATGGAGCTTGGTAGGGACGAGCATTTCTAGGAGGTGGAGCTCGACTTTGTGTATAATATTGTATCCGCGTGTAAGGTTTCACGTTCATCACCGCATAGAGAGGCGGTGCCACGGTATAAGCAACATCTTGATGGGGATAATAGTGTTTTGGGACCTTAGAAGGCATATATGATTGGTTGAATGCCCTGCGGGCCCCCTTCGAGCTTGAGGGATTAGGTATTATTTGCCTATTTGCTACGTGTTTGGATGTTGAGTACAACATATAGGTGAGGTGATGAGCACCTATGCATTGTTGTAGAGTCATAGCATGCGAGCGAGTTTTATTCTTGTAATTATTGTATTATTTGATCATATTGTTCATGCTTAGACTAACTATTCGTTATGTTGAGCAACTCTTATCGTATTTTACGGAATTTGGTATTGATTGAGTATTGACTCAAAGTTGAGGTTGGTATTGTGTAACTAAATGTTGAAGTAAGATTGGTTCTTGATATTTTTATCTCTCTGTTGTTATTGTTTATTGTTTTGGTGAATGAGAGTGTTAAAGCTCGAAGGGTGATGTCGTGCAATGTTTTGTGAGTGGTAGTTAATGCACGAAGGGTGATGCCGTGCCATGATATGTGAGTGTTAATATACGAAGGGTGATGTCGTGCAATGTTTTGTGAGTGGTAGTTAATGCACGAAGGGTGATGCCGTGCCATGATATGTGAGTGTTAATATACGAAGGGTGATGTCGTGTCGTTTCTTTTGTTTATATGGTGAGGATGAGAGTTAATGCATGAATGGTGATACCGTACCGTTTCTGTTAATTATTATGGTGAGGTTGAGAGTAAAAGTACGAAAGGTGATGCCGTGCACTTGCCTTTAGTGTGTTTAATACTTTCATTGGTGCAAAGAATATTGTCTGGTGTGGTTTCTTTACTGTTACAGTTTTCTTTATCTTGTACTCCCCTCAGTTCCGCTCCCATTATTATTTGTTCAGCTTCTATTGGTTGTTAATATGCTCGTATATTGTTTAACTGCACAGATTTATGAATGTGTCTTGTCTTAGCCTCGCCACTACTTCACCGAGGTTAGACTCGACACTTACCAGTACATGGGGTCGGTTGTACTGATACTGCACTCTGCACTTTCTGTGCAGATTTTGGTACCGGATCAAGTTGACCCTGAGCCTAGCTGCTGGCTTGATCTGTTTGGAGACCCAAAGTAGTCATGTTTGGCGTCCACAGGCCTTGGCGTCCCCTTCTATGCATTTCCTTTACTGTTTCATTTGTATCAAAAACAGTTATATTTCCTTCAGACAACTTACTTATAGCTAAATCTTAGTAGTTCGTGGATTATGACACCAAATTCTTGGTAGTTGTGTATAAGTATTAAAGTTGTTATGGATTTCCGCGCTTTTCTTTTACCTTGTTATGGCTTATTTGATGTTTATCACCGAAAAACTTAAGAATTTGGCTTAATGATCTCTATTGTTGGCTTGCTTAGCAAGTGAAATGTTAGGCGCCATCACGGTCCCGATGATGAAAATTCGGGGTTGTGACAAAATCATAACTCTAGACCTCCTTAATCCATTCTCCAACCATTAACATCCATGTTTGTTAATTTACTACTTTAATTTATTAGTTAATTAGTTAGACATAAAAATCTTAATATTTATAACTTAGGAATTGTTCGAGCCTGTCTTCTGAGTGATATTGAACTGTTATAGTGAAACTTTAGTTCTCTGTGAGATTCGATTCCGGGCTTTTAGACCGAATTATATTTGCAGTGACCGCTTATTCTTTTTAGGACTAGAGTTGGGCGTGATTAGGACACTTATGTAGCTCATATATGTGACTTAGTTTGATTTAAGAAACAGATAAAAAAATAAAATAACCTAAATAATTAATAAAACTAACATAAAAAACTGACTTAATTAGTTTGATTCGTTTCATATATTTGATTTCTTTTTTAAAAATCCTGACTCAAATGAAACCATAACACCCTAAATGTGCTAAAAATATCAATATGAAATAATAAGGACGAATAAGTTCTATTATCCTATATTACTTGGTTCTTTAAATTCCCGGGATTTCACAAATAAGAAAAGAAAAAAATATTCCCTCTGTTTTAATTTAGATGACATGCTTTCTTTATTAGTCCATTCGAAAAAGAATGATGCATTTTTATAATTGGAAATAGTTCAACTTTAAATTCTTCATTTTACTTATTTTACCCTTAATGAGAAACTTTTATAACCACACATATGACCCCACAAAACTTTTACCCCTTAAGCTATTAAGACCACAAGTTTTAAAAATTTTCTTTTTTTCCCTTAAATTTCGTACTGAATCAAACTAGCTCATCTAAATTGAAACGGAGGCACTATTAGGTAGTAACTATTTTTCATAATCTTTTTTCTGGAATTTAGTTAAGAAAAGAGAAATTAAAAAGAAAAGAAACAATCCCATCAGTCACCAGGTCGTAAAGTTTACGCTGTCGTGTAACAAACAAATTGGGGATCCCTTCTTCCCTACTTGGCTCCAAATTTACTCTCTCTGCAACTCAGAAAATTAGGGTTTCCAATTCTCCAGTCCTATAAAAAGCCCTAATAATCGATTTGAAACAAACTCCTCTTCATATATCCATAATATCCAATCGTCAATTCATTGAGCTTCTTGTCAATGATTAAACCCTATTCACTCACTTGGGTTTATCTACCAAAGATCCACTGAAGATTGAATTGAAGATCACACACTGAGTATATTATAGTAGTATAGGGAGTAATGGATATGGATGGAAGCAAGCGCATTTTCCAACGGTTGGGTCCTCATTCACAAGGAGGGGACAACAACAGTAACAAACAGCAAAAAGTTTGTTTCCATTGGAGGGCAGGAAGGTGCAACAGATTTCCATGTCCTTTTTTGCATAGAGAATTACCGGCACCGCCACATCAGCAGCAACAGCAGCCGCATAATGGGATGCCGTCATCTTCATCGAAGCGGCCTCATGCTTTCTCTTCCGATTATGATAATCGAGGCAGTGCAGGCGGAGGAGGAATGCGTAGGAATCCGAATTTCAACAATACATGGGGGAGAACTGCTGCTGGCGGGGGTGCAGTTGTGAGGAAGATGGAGAAAGTTTGTAATTATTGGGTAAAAGGGAACTGTACATATGGTAATACTTGTAGGTTTTTGCATTCTTGGACTACTGGCGATTGCTTTACTTTGTTGACCCAACTCGAAGGCCACCAAAAGGTGATCAGTTGTACTTCTGTTGGATATCAATTTGTATAGTCTTGATTGTTTTATGGTTTAACAAGTATAGGAAAACTCATTATGTCATATGATGTGTTTTATTTGAATTGGAATGCTGTTATGGTCACAGCGGATGCAGGATTTGAACTTTAATTAGTTCCTATTCTAATTCTACCATATTCCATTAAGTTTACCTTACAACAACAACAACAACAACCCAGTATAATCCCACTTAGTGGGGTCTGGGGAGGGTAGTGTGTACGCAGACCTTACCCCTACCCTGAGGTAGAGAGGCTGTTTCCAAATAGACCCCCGGCATCCTTCCCTCCAAGAACTTCCCACCTTGCTCTTGGGGAGACTCGAACTCACAACCTCTTGGTTGGAAGTGGAGGTTGCTTACCATCAGAGCAACCCCTCTGATGGAGGTTGCTTACCATCAGAGTTTACCTTACTGGGTTCAAAATCTATTATTTGTACTTTCTTTAGGGAGTTTTCATATTGTTAACACATATATGTGGTCTAGCTCGGATGAACCTGTAGCTTATTCACTAGATTGCCCCCTGGTTATGGTAAATTAAATGGGTTTTGCAAACAGGTTGTTACAGGAATTGCTTTGCCATCAGGCTCGGATAAGCTTTATTCAGGGAGTACGGACAAGACAGTAAGAGTGTGGGATTGCCAATCTGGACAGGTTCTCCTCATTCTTTTCCTTTTCAGTTTTGAAGTTATGAAACACGAAAATTGGCATAGGAAAAATGTCTTCGTCGCTTGAAATCTTGATATTGTATAAAATTCACAGGGAAAACTAGGAAAGAATGTTACTTGCACGTCTCTGCTTCTTTCCCTGCTAGCTGAACTAAGCACTTTTCTCTATTAATTCCTGTTAAAAAGCATGGGAGTCAAAGCTTTGCTTTTTATTGCTGAATTCATGGTGAAATTAAACGAGGAAAGAGAATAGTGCAGAACAGTAATGTTATCTTTTGGTTGCATCAGATGTTAATAGCACACACCGTCTCAAAGATAAGGAGAATTCTTTCTCCAGTTTAGCATGTTACAAAAATAAAAATTGAAGTCACTTCCTTGCTGAAGGAAGAAGTAAAATGGAAAGAAAATATTGATTCAGTTTGACAAGTTGTAAGAAAACAAGCTGTCAATGGAAAGTGTGAAACTCTAAGCTACCCATAGAGGGAAAAATTATTTTTGAAGCTGAATTTAAAGGAAAGACATCTTGGAACTTGTAATATATCATGTCTATGTGATAGACATCCTTCCAGATTTCCATTTGAAGATAGTCAATAAATCTCTTGCCTCTGAAACCTTCCCACAGGATATGATGATTTATTCTCTTCGTGAGACTAGTTTCTAGCTTTGGAGGATCATGAATGAATTCTTATGTTGTGGCTTCCTTCTGTTGTAGTGTGCAGGAGTTGTCAACTTTGATGGTGAAGTAGGTTGTATGCTTAGTGAAGGACCATGGATTTTTGTGGGTTTAACTAATCTCGTCAAGGTGAGCTGTGAACAGAATTATTTTCCCATCCTGCTCTCTTTACTGGCAGTTCATCTCTCTCTCTCTCTCTCTCTCTGCATCTTGTCGCATAGACATATGCTGACCTATTTTCAAATATGTACAACACTCTGAATATAGTGAATTTCATTCCTTACGTGGATGTGCGTGATAACTTCACAGGCATGGAATACTCAAACAGGAACTGACCTCAGTCTTGATGGGCCAGTTGGACAAGTCTATGCTCTTGTTGTTGGCAATGATATGCTCCTAGCTGGTACAGAGGTAGGTGTATACAGTTAGTTATAATTAAAAAAAAAAAAGGAAGAGGTATGGAATGGAAGTGCATGCCTGTACAACCTGGTCTCTCTATCTGAAATCTTGTAAATTAACTGGGAAGTACTGCAGGATGGGATATTAGCATGGAAATATAATGGGAGCACCAACTGTTTTGAACCAGCTGCACAATTGAAAGAACACACCCATCATGTGGTATCACTAGTCGTTGGAGCCAACAGACTATATTCTGGTTCCATGGACAATTCAATAAGAGTAAGTCGGTTGGACTGTGATGTGAATTCTCACATCATCTTATGTTTTCTATTTCGTCTTGATGCCTAGAGAAAGCTAGGGATTTTGAGTTCTACAGTTTGACCTAGATGTTGCAGTTGCTACCTTTTTGTTCTTACTGTTGCTATCATGACTTCAGGTATGGAACCTTGAAACTATGCAGTGTCTACAGATCTTGACAGGTCATACAAGTGTTGTTATGTCTGTTCTATGCTGGGATCAGTTTCTTTTATCATGTTCATTGGACCAAACAATAAAGGTTTATGTTTGTTCTTTTGCTTGAAATTCAGCTCTCTTAAGCTTATCCAATCATGTGTCGATTTGATTGTACTTGTTTTTTTATAGGTCTGGGCTGCTAACGAGAGTGGGAACTTGGAGGTTACGTATACTCACCAAGAGGAAAAGGTATAAGAGATTACTTCATCTGTCGATATTACTTAATGACATTTTGGTATATGCTCACATATCAGTATATTAACTACGTCAAAACTGAAACCATGTGTTAGAAAAAAGAGAGAACATAGAAAAGGAAAAGTGACAAGCTTAGAATTATCTATTAGTTTGATAGGGAAGACTGAAGGGAGTCATAAAGTGGTTGCTGGTTTATTGTTGATGGAATATTCATTAAATAATTATAAAGTTCTTTAACTAAATTTATAGTTGTGTTTCAAACTTTTTATACACTTGATAGGGAAAAGAGTGATAGAAGGGAGGATGAGGAGGTGTGTGTCCATTTTCGAGGAGAATGAGTTTGGTTTCATGCCGGGTCGGTCGACTACTGAAGCCATTCACCTTGTGAGGAGATTAGTGGAGCAGCATAGGGCGATGAAGAAGGACTTGCATATGATGTTCATTGACTTAGAGAAAGCTTATGACAAAGTCCCGAGAGAGGTTCTATGGAGATGTTTGGAGGCTAAGGGAGTACAGTAGCGTATATTCGAGTGATCCAGGACATGTATGATGAGCTAAGACACATGTAAGGACATCAGGAGGGGACTCTGAATACTTCCCGATTGAGATGGGGTTGCATCAGGGATCTGCACTTTGCCCATTTCTGTTTTCCTCGTTAATGGACACATTAACGCGACACATTCAAGGGGAGGTGCCTTGGTACATGTTATTTGCAGATGACATAGTTCTGATTGATGAGACGTGTGGTGGTGTCAACGAGAGGCTGGAGGTCGGGAGACATACCCTTCAAGCTGAGTAGGACCAAGACCAAATACTTGTAGTGCAAGTTCAGCGGCGTTGCCCAAGAACCGGACGGGGATGAGGCTTGATGCGCAGTCATTCCCAGGAGAGAGAGTTTTAAGTACCTTGGGTTTGTGATTCAGAGTGATGGGGAGATAGGTGAGGATGTCACACATCATATTGGAGCAGGGTAGATGAAGTGGATGCCGCTTCCGCTGTCTTGTGCGATAAGAATGTGCCGTTGAGATTTAAAAGGAAGTTCTACGAGGTAGTGGTTAGACCGACTATGTTGTATGGGGCAGATTGCTGGCCGGTTAAGAACTCCCATGTCCAGCAGATGAAAGTAGCAGAGATAAAGATGTTGAGATGGATGTGTGGGCACACGAGGTTAGATAGAATTAGGAATGAAGTTATTAGGGACAAGGTGGGAGTGACCCCTGTGGAGGTAAAGATGCGCGAGGCGAGGCTGAGATGGTTCGGGCATGTTAAGAGGAGAAACACAGATGCCTCAGTCAGGAGGTGTGAGAGTTTGACCTTGGGGGGTAAAAGGAAGGGTAGAGGTAGGCCGAAGAAGTCTTGAGGAGGGGTGATCAGGCAGGATGTGTCGCAGCTTGAGCTTACTGAGGACATGATCCTTGATAGGAGGGTGTGGAGGTTGAGAACTAGGGTAGAAGGTTGGTATGTAGCTGAGCGTTTCCCTTTGTCTTCCTTAGTTAAACAATATTAGTGTTAGTATGGTATCCATTTTACCCTTAGTTTGCTATTTTCACATATCTTGTATCGTTAGTACTTGCCATCAGTATTCCTTTAGTTTGATATCATTATATATCTTGCACTGTTATTACTTGTGATAAGTACTTCTTTCATCTTCCCCTTTGTTATTTTGGATTTAGTTTTCTAAATATCATGTATTGTTATTTCTTGCTATCAGTGCTTCTTACATCTTCTCTTTAGCCGAGGGTCTTCCGAAAATAGACTCTTTGCCCTACCAGAGTAGGGGGAAGGCTGCGTACATCCTACCCTTCCCAGACCCCATTTGTGGGAATACACTGGGATGATGATGTGTTGTTGTTGATAGGGAAGAGAGTCATAAAGTGGTTTAAGTTTATTGTTGATGGAATTTTCGTTAAATAATTATAAAGTATAACTAAATTTACAGTTGTGTTTCAAACTTTTAATACACTTGCTAGATCAAAAAGTTAGACTACATTGATGTTATTGAATATTCTAACTTAATTAGTAAAAGAGTAATATATGTAATACAAACTAAAAGGAAAATTAATACACCCATCGTCCCAAATGAATGATAGGGTTATTAGAACTTATTAATTTTGTTTGTTTCGGATGATGATTGCTCTGTTTTGTTTAAAATACAAATACAAAATTATATATTTGGAACTGCAATAAAATTCTAGAAAGCACTCCTTTATAATTGAGATATTCGAAAAATGTTTGAGAAAATTGTAGCAAAAGAAAATGTTATTTGAATATCCAGATTGTAAGGGCATTTTGGCCAAGCAAAAATTTGAGTGAATATTTTTTTAATTATGAATTGAATTCTGACAACTTGGGCCTTTTACTGAATAAGTATGTTTCATACAATTATTATGTTAAGTTGCTAAATAAAGATAGTATAACATACAAGCTAAAAAATTAACTAAGTGCTGTAAAAGAAGTGAACATTTAGATTTTTGAAATAGAATTTCGATTTTAATTTATTATTCAGCTCTAATGAAAACAAGATAGGATATTATGTTAGCATCAGAGATAGGAGATTAGCTAAACAATTGAGTATATTGGGTGGGAAATGGAAGTAAAAGAGAGCAAGATTTAGTGATGTGGGACAAGAGAATCTGGGAATGATAGGAAAAAGATGGTTGCTTGCCGTTCACTTTCGTTGGCATTGGATGAATAAACATTTTAAGGCCCTGCTGAGGAAACAAAAGGAAAAGCCTTCGTCGGATTTCCCCGTGTGGAAGGCTTATGGAGCTGGCCATGAGTCATAGGGTGGTTCTGATTTCAATACCCGTCAAAATCTGCAAGGACTAATATTAGTGTGGACAGGTGCTCTCAGAATTACAGAAGTTAATACTTAATAAAGATTCTTCAGAAGTGGTTTTGGAGTTCTCTCTAATTGATCCTCCTCCTCCTTGCGGAAGACCATATACATGGTTTGGAAATAATATTGATACCTTTGCTTCTAGAGTTGATAGATTCTTTTTAATCAAACGTATTAAATTTCTAAAGCAAAGAGTACATTCTGCAGTTTCATCTGTTGTCATTGGTCGTTGTCCTATTTTACTGGAGTGTGGGAGTGAGACAAAACAAAACCATATTCGAGATCGACTGGTTGAGATGCGTTAGATAGTTATGGTTTTGAGGATTTAGTGGTCAAATGGTGGAAGTTAGACATAAAGGAATAAAACATTAAGATGCTTGATCCTTGTAAAAAAAACACTAAGATGTCTGAATAATTGAAAGAAAATAAATCCAGAATTAGAGAGAATTGTACAGATGGATAGCATGATGGGGAGCGCGTGCGAAGATGTGGCAAAAAAATTGGCATTGCTCTATAAACCGGGATATATTTCTAAAACCTGTCCTGGAGACCAAAGCTCAAATCTTCTGGGTTTACAAGTTGGTAAAAAGGCTAAACAATTTAAAGAATATCAAGAACTCATAACGAATGCAACTCAATTAACAAAATGGAAATAAGTGGGAATTCAGAGGAAGATCCTGTTCATCACACATTGGAATTATGAATCACGAGAACCTCTTGACCAAACTGGAGCGATTATAACTTAGCTACCGCATCGGTTGAATAGAAGGAATGGTTACAAAGACCATTTATAGAGATTGGAGAAGGAAGTTGAACAGGTCATCAAACAACTCGTTGGAGATGAAGTTCCTGGCTAGTCTGTTTCACCATGACAACTTTTCAGAGATGCTGAGTACCGGTGATACATTAATTTATGTGGTGCTGAAGAAAGGGAACTACTATATCTGAGGGTTTTATATTACTGGTTTTCGAGCCAGTGTCTGGCCTCCATATGAATCTGCCAAGAAAAACTATTTATTCACGGCAGTTTATTTTGGGCAACATAGAAATGTTCCCACCCTCTATCTTGGGTTGCATTTGGGAGCAAAATTTCAGGACAATGGAGTCTACAAAAGAAATGAAAAAAAGCTGGCGCCTTTGGAAGAAGCAATATGTCTATTTTGGGAAAGATTGACTTAGATAATAGTATATCCGCTAACCTATCGAATGTTCATGGTGCATATTCCAGATAAAACTGAGAATGTTAACACATTAAGAAATGATTTTCTATTGGGAGATAATCAGGATAGGAAGGAGCTGCATCTTAGTGTGATGTAAAGCAATCTTAAAATATGGTGGCCGAAAGGCGGGGAACTTATGACTGCATAATAAGAGTCTCTTGTTCGAATATGGCTGGGGATTTGATGTTGGAAGAGAAGAACTGTGAAAGGTGTTTAAAAAAAAAGACATAAAATGACTGGTGGGCTAGATCTGGTACCTTATCTTATAGAGTTGCAATTTGGAAATGCATTAGAAATCTCCAGGAATAGTTCCTAGATAAGTAAGATCTAATAGGAAGAAGGATAAATTTGTTGGCAGTCTAGCAGATATATAATACTACTTTGTAAGACAGGTTTCCAGATTTATACATGCTTTCGATTAATAAATAAAGCTCTCTAGCGGAATGTCTTAGTGGGTGTAACTGGAATGTCCAATTTAGGAGGAACTGGAATGACTGGGAGTTGAAGAGTTAATTTTCTATTGGAACATTAAAGAAGGTGCTTTTTTCTGTGCCTCTGGTAGAATATCTCAGTATGGGGATTGGATTCGGAAAATTCAACTACTGGAAGAATGAGGAGGCGAGGTTGATTGAAGACCAAAGTGATTCTCTGAATTGGATGGCTGGAGGGGATGGTAAATTTCTGAACGGTCATGTTTGAGACAAGTGTCAATAGCCTTGGAGGAAGATATGGAAAACCAGTGCACCCCGTAGGGCCCTTTATTTGCTATCTTAATTTATCATTTGAAAAAAATAAACTATGTTGCTCGGACTCTGGTAATGCCGCCGGGTGTGTGTCAAATCCTCCAAAAGTAGTGCATTTTTGGATGATCCAACACGGGTGCAGCGGCACATAGCCAACATTTGCGAATGTTTGATTTTAGAACTTTTATTTTTTTAATTATGTCTAGTTATCTATTTCAGTCTGGACAAAAATACAAAGTCAGTGCCCGAGATTTGCCAAAACATTACACATTTTGGAGTTTGACCGCGTATTCTAAATCATGTTATACAATTCTGGACGGGAATCCACTATTGCATTAGTGATTTGAGTAATTGCATATAGATCAGAAGAATGAAGCTTGCTTGCTTCATCTATCAAACTCCGATGATATAGTTAATGCATAACTTTTTTGATAAACAATGAGATTTTCCCATTTTGTACATGTTTGCTCTGCCATCTAACAATGTTGTCTATCTATAGGGTGTGCTAGCTCTCTGTGGCATGCATGATTCAGAAGCAAAGCCTGTATTGCTCTGCTCTTGCAATGACAAAACGATTCACGTCTATGATTTGCCATCGTAAGCTTCACACTCAGCCTTTATGTTGTTGGAATTCATTGTTGGTTCCTGTTATTGAATGGATCATTTACAACATTTCTTCTTCTGGTTAGCTTTTCCGAGAGGGGGAAAATATTCTCGAAGGAGGTCGTTCGTCGAATTGAGATCGGTCCTGGTGGTTTATTTTTTACCGGTGATGAATCAGGTCAACTTAGAGTTTGGAAGTGGTTAACTGAATCCAGCAGTACAGCTTGAGAGGATTGCTGCATCTATAGTGATAATATCCTTGTTATTGGCCAGCAGTTATCTTGTTATTCTTCTCCTGTTGAGAAAATGTACCAAGCAAGGGAATATATAATAAGATAAAGTAGTATCAGTTTTGATTTTTCAGAGGTAGGACTCCAGGTCACGTCCTAGCAGCCCGGCTTAGGAGCCTTGCCGTTTTTGTTGCTTTTAACTATTGAGCTCTTGATGGGATCCAGGCATATTTTTTCTTAGTCTGGTTTGTACTCAAAATCATATGATATTCATGTAATTCTCTGGAGGACATTTCTGGTCTTCTCCTCTTGATGAATCAGGTCGTTCACGAGTTATGGATGTAGCTCAAAAAGTCCTTGTGTAACCTTGAATAAGATATGCACGACCAGAAGACTGAAAGCTTGTTCATTGTGAACTATGTTTCTATGAGTGCAATTCCACCGAGTAGTATTATAGAAGTTAGTATTCCTAGAGAATGGTATAGAATTATTTCTTATCTTTCGTGTTACTTCTGTAAGGACTTATTTTAACAGTCTTCTAAATAGGCATGTTTGGTTATAGTTTGGTGACTTCGTTTTTAATTCTTTTTTGAGGTAAGTTTGGAAGCTGGCTGCTTTGCTATTAGTTGTAAATAGGGGCGGCAAAATGGTTAAAAGAAAACAGTTAACCACCCATATTATCCACTAAAAAATGGGTTGGATAATGAACTTTTTAAAAATGGGTCAAATATGGATAAAAACTATATTATTCATTTAGAAAATGGATAATCAATGGGTCTAACTTTTACATTTGTAAAGCCTCAAATTGGGAGTTCCTCAAGTTAGGGAGACTAAGAATTCTTCCAAAAGTGATCATATGCAAGAAGTCATGGATAATATGGTCCGCCGGTTAACCCGTTTTTTATCCGTATTAAATATGGGTCGGGTCGGATAATTTATCCGTTTTTTCATCATTACCCGTCTTCATCCCGAACCATATCCGACCCGACCCGCCCGTTTGACACTCCTAGTTGTAAGTTTGCTAGCGCTTGACTAGGAGCAAAACAGAAATTAAAGGTAGTCTAATATGTTCTTACGAATCTAAAGATCTCTCAAATTGGAAGAAAGAGCTCTTCCCGTCTCCAACTTTGCCATTTTCTTCTAGTGCATTGCTGTAACAGCGAAAAACTAAGGAAGAAAGCAGTATACCTGCATTGCTCTATTTTCTCCCGAATGGTTGAAGCCTTGAAGAGAAAACCCCAAATATGTATGTAGTTCAAGCTCCCGTTACTTAGTCTAAATATTATTGTACACTTTAAAATCTACGCTATTATCTTTTTGAACCTCTTCTATACCAATTTACTTTTCCATCTTTCTATTTTTATTTTTAAAAGGTTGGCATAAAAGGTACTAACATGCTGTATCATTTATGACCAGTATGGATGGACAGGTATTTTGATCGGGTGCAAAGTTCAATCTATATTGTGTAAGGAGTGTCAATGCATTTAAATCCCCTTACATAATCTCCTTTTAACGAGTCTCCTGTATTGGGCAGACTGACAAAACATCACTCCCTCTCAAAATTTTGGCGGCCACTCTGATTTCTCCACTGCCTTAGAGATTTTCTACAGACCTCTACTTCTTTTTCTTCCCTTCCTAGAATCTGTTCTGGCTGAAAAAAAGGGACCAAATTAAAACTTTGTTTCCTGTTCAAGTTTTATTCTTCATTTATTTTTTCATACTTTCAACTCCCTTCTCTATATCCATCACCCTCATTTTCGTTTTGAGCTGCCGCTATTGACACGCTCCCTAGTCCAGAAGAAAGGTATTTTTCCAACTCTGCTGAGACTAATAATGTATGTGCTTTCTTGTTTGGAAGGTTCTTAACATATACTACTTGGGTTTGAGCTGCCGCTGTTGACACACCTCACACCTTTCCTAGTCCAGAAATAAAGGTATTCTTCCTACCCTGTTGAGACTAATGTATTTTGTTTCTAGTTTTGACCATCTTGTACTTGTTTGCAGCATTTCTGTCAACAATACTGCCTTAGGAATGTCATTTGTTCAATGTTGACTTTCCGTCTGCATGTCTATAAATGAAATCAGCCGATTCACTAAATAATGATTCATGATTTCAGCAGTAAACCATAAGAAACCTTGGGTAAACATAAAACTTACATATGAACTGCTCCAGTCTCTATACCTCTTAAACGCCTCAACCTGAATCACCTACCACTATGCATCGGGGAAAGGAGCCGCTCCATAAAATCTCATGAGATTTAAGTTTGGGACTGGCAAGCCAAACCTTAGATAAATGTTTAGAAGTTTGGGACTGGCAAGCCAAATTTCAGATAAATGTTTGAGGCTTGGTACTGCCAGACAAAATACACGCACAAGCAATATGTCAAATCTCCGACAAGATTTGTAACATCATAGATGGTTTTTTATTTTTTATTTCAGTCTCGTATGTATGAGGATGATTTTGAAGTAGTTATAACTTTTGAATGTTTTTGAACTTCAGCTATGCTCTAAATAGGGGTCCTAAAATTGGCTATTCGTGCTCTTGTCTCTTTGCCTTTCACTTTCCTTCGTTCCCTCCCGAAATTAAGGCTTTATGTTCGTTCCTTTTCCACTGATAAAATAACCGGGAACTACTGCAGGATGGGATATCGGCATGGAAATATAATGGGAACACCAACTATTTTGGATCTTCTGCAGCATTGAGAGGACACACCAATCCTGTAGTATCACTGGTCATTGGAGCCAATAGACTATATTCTGGTTCTATGGAAAATTCAATAAGAGTAAGTTGGTTGGGATGCAATATGGATTAGCAGATCATCTTATATATGTTTTTCTATTTCCTCTTCATGTGTAGAGAAAGCTAGGTATTCTAGAGTTCTGCATTTTGACCTAGATTATGCAGTTGCTACTAGTCTGTTCTGTGTTGTTACTATTATGTCTACACTTGGAACTTTTCGGTGTCTACATATCTTGACAGATCATACAAGTGTTGTTATATATGTCTGTTATCATGTTCATTGGACCAAATAATTAATGTGTGTGTATGCTTGGAATTCAGCTCTCTTTAGTTTATCCAATCATGTGTTGATTTGACTGTGCTTGTTGCTAATGAGAGCGGGAAGTTGGAAGTAAAAGGGAGCGAGATTGTAGTAATGTGGGACAACAGAGTCAAAATTAGGTTGCTTGCAATTGCTATTCAATTTCGTTGGTATTGGACGAATAAAGACTAGATCTAAGTGGCTGTTTCTCTTGCGTATGGGGCACGAGAAAACAAAGGACAGGCCTCTTATTACAATTCACACTGCGAAAGGCTCATTGGGGGGGG